GCGTACTAAATTTATGCGTCGAAACAATTGTCGCGAAAAGTCCATGAAATTTCCGTAAATAACTATAAAATGGAGATAATTGCAATAGGTAAAAATATGCTGATATCGTCGCCTACTATACAAACAGCACTCAACATATCAGTCTTACGAATGATCGTTGGTTTAAAAATAGAAAAAAATATATAACACACAACGCTAAATATTCTCAAACTGAGCAGAATTTGTGCTGTACGGTACGGTACTAAACATTAAAAAGAAATACTTAAATATATATTTTTATAACCAAAATAATAAGATCGTGTTTTTATTAATTGGTTTAGCATCCGTGTCAGAAATTTCTTCTCAATGAATAAAATAGATTTCATAAACATTTTCAGCCTATTATTATCTACAATAACTATAACTGTCAGTAATTTATTTACAATTATGGTACACGTGATCAATTTGACTGTAATCGGAACAAATCGCCGCTGAAATACATAATCTACGCGACCGACTGTAACTAAATACAAGTCCCTGAATATTCTTTTGTGGCAGTAGATTTATTTGCTTGTAATATCTGTGAAGACGAGTGTCGACTTAATTTTTCTTGTTTTTTTGTTTATGGTGAAGTCAACCTTACCGCCTATTTGCATAGATCTTGCGCAATGTGCCTCAATAATATTATCTAAAGTTATAAACATGAAATATAATTTCGTTTCGTTTGTAATGGATAAATAAAAATATTTAAAAAATTCCACATTTACTGGTAAAAATGTAGCTTTAAAGCTTTAAATGTATCGTGGGCAGGGTTATACGTGATACGGGTTCTTACTGAGCTGAGCCCGCGTCATAACACCGCATAACATTTTTGCTTATAAACTGAGTAAACTGCACCCAAATCGATTAAGCTGTTTCTAATATTAGCACGCAGAGACATACAGATAAAAATTCTAGAAATATTTTTCTTAATGTTCCATTAGTATGATAAAGAGTTCTAATAATAGTTTTTCTCGAATATCTTCCATAGACAGACACCAAGCATTAAATTATTATATTTATAGATTAACTCATTAACAATCGTTAGTGGAAAATTATATTAATATCCTAACCATTAAAAAATTCCGTACAATGTATTAATTACAAAATATGCGTTAGATACATATGTTAATTTAGAACGATGTATTACAATTACAATACATCCAAAATTGAGAACTAGAAATAATATTAGCAGTAAGTTAATTAACAACTTAGACTTCGAACTTCTGATGTTGAAGAACAATATAAGTAGTATGGGTTTAAGGTCATTTGTTTTTAATAATAAAAATAAGATAACACATATCTAACTAACAATACCTTTCAAGTATAATGTGAAACTCCTTTATCATAATTTACACATTGGGTGTGAAAAGCTGCATCTTATAGTTTGAATCCTAGATATTCTGGCAATCATTGTTTTGTATTCTCTTATGTTGATTAAGATCCGAAATAATAGTTTTTCTCATATATCGTACATGACATGTATATATAATTATAGATACATTTTTGTTCTATGTATGTAGATATTAAGGTGTAAAATATACAACCCACGATGCCTTTATAATATGGAATATTATAAAATGGATAATAAAAATATATATTTCATTTTTAATACACATTACACATTAGAAAAGGTATATGGCGTACTTATTAACTCCCTGCCATTTCTACAACATAACTCTAACTAATGAAATAAGGTAACAACAGTAATGGTGTGATGTAAACAATTTTACAAACCGAAAGTAAAATATAACTTGTTTCGAAAAGAGTAATACTGAAATTCGTTTCGGTTAATAATATTCCAAATTTTGCTTTGCATTCAAAATATACCACAAGGTGTATTTCAATAATTTAAATTAAAATAAATAAATTTTTATACGCGCAAAGTTATACAATTTTTAATATACACTAAGCTTTAGCATATACTCCAATAATATCAAATTGAAAATAAATTATTAATATGAACTTTAACACTGTTACATAAGATAGGTAGTTAGAAATATGTCAACATGAGATAATTACGCGGTAAGCAGAGATCGTGAAGCACCGGCATTTAGGGGGCGGTGCTCGCTACTCACCATTGTTCAGTCGTTCGCCACTGTCATCTATTCTATTGTCACATCATCTCACCATTCACACAGTTTGTTGTTGACATTCAATAACACATTGTCAAGATCTCTATAGATATTACTTTTATTACGCAATTTAATATTGTTAATTTAGATGTAATACTTTCATATAATTACATGTATTATATTATAGTTAGGTACTTCTATAAAAATACGCTTCTTCGCATAACCAGACTAAGTTTATACATTACATTCAATTGTCACATGAAAATAATATATACAGTAATACTCCAACTTACGCCATACCACCTTACGCTAATTCGGAGATACGTTAGTCCTTCTTCAGTACCGAGCGCCTGTCGCCGCGGATCTCCGAGGTGCTTTTATTGATAAAACTCTTAATATGTCGTCCAAAGGAACGAAAAATAAACGAGAATTAGACCGCAACGCGAATTCGACTAATACTTAATACTGGGTCCTACCTATGACGTACCCACTCAGACAGAGCATTACTATTTATATATTATAGATGTTTCACCACATATAATATTAGGGGAGCATTTACTCTAAAACATGTATAATATAAAATATAATATTGATATTAAGGTGACGTAAACTAGACTGTTCATTAAATTAATTAATTCACATCCGTTGGTGTACATTATTATATATATAAAAACTAATTGGTAAAGAGTAAAAATAATTTCCTGAAGCGGACACTACCTGGCATACACATTCTCACTAATAGACAATCTACGTAAACGATATAAGAACGTCAACTATACATATTCACATAAAACGTTTAGCACTCGCTAACATTAACAACTCTAAGAGTGCTAACGGCTTGCAGTGCCAAGAACATCTAACCTAGCTTATTATTAAACAACCGCATACATAATCTAGGAGAGTGCATCTTGCAATTCACTAAAGGTGCATAATCGCTCGCTCTCATGGTTTCAATACAACAGAATATGACACGGCCCCACTTAACAATAATTTCAGTCTCATATCAAATTGTCTTTAGGAAAATGATACTGTTGTTAATAAAGGCACGGGGTATTCCATACAAATTTGAGGAGTAAACAACAAACGAAGTAGTTAAGGCGCCTTGCAGACACTAATTGTTTCAATTACATACAAGACAAGACAAATGAGTGTTGTTCGTGACCAACATTATCTATTTCAATTATATTATATACTGTGTATTGTCATTAATTTGTATAGATTAAAAATTATTTTTACGATCAATTATTTATTTAATCAATTTTATTTTACTATTACAGACTGTTTTAATTTACCTTTGACAAATACGTGCTCAGTATTATAAAAGTTATTTACTATTTAATATATAATTTTTCTGCAAATTACATATTTTTATACTCAATTTTAAATGACTTTTATCTTAACGTATATATTTGTTATCATCACTACTGAATGTACAGTTAAAAGTAAAATGAAAATATTAATAGTGGTCCGTTGGTCATATTCTGGTGCGTATCTGCGCGCGTGTTCGGTAGGTACCTCGGGGCGCGGCTCTTCGCCGAGAGAGTCACCCAACGCCTCAGCCTGGCTCTTCATTATCGAGTAAAATTTCACGTACGGCGCCTTCAGCAGCTATGCGCAAGTGTGTTTACTCATATTAGTACAGACAACAACAAAAATAGATCATTAATATAATAACTCGTAGTAGTGCTTCAAATTGTAATCTATTTTCGTTGCTTATCTTACTAAAATAAACATGAAAAATGTTTTAAATTATAAAACCATATCTAAGATTAAGATCGTTTTGTTGATGTCAATTATGTAAATTATTTGTATATTGGAAAGCATGTTCTAGATACATAAGGATACATAGACATGTAATAGTTTCGGAATAAAATAAAATGTGAACGAGCATGTTTTGTTGTTTCCGGCAATCGAGTAAAGATTATGAGAAATTAAAATATAATTTTGATTTGTTTGATTGACTTTATCTGCGCTGTTTACGAATAATTCCAAGTAATTGCTACCAACGAATGTAGCGTTGGAACATAATGTAGTTAAGATTATTAGTAAACTAACGTGTGGATAATCCTTGATTGCTACGACTTTTATAGTCGTATTAAAGTATTCAATATTATTATTGAAACGCATCTATTAAGGGCCCCTCTATACTAAGAAATGCAATGTCAGGCAGGTAATGAATTAACTCATAATAACGTCTTTGTTGTGTGCCCTGGTCAATTTTTGTATTTTATTGTTCTAATAAATTAAATTTATACAATTACTAAATATATTAAGTATTCGAGCTACAGTGATATTGCGGCCAGCTTCGACCATTCGATTTGTTTGAAAGATGCAATTGCTTATCGTTTTAATATTTTTCAGCTGTCTATTTGCGGTATTTCTGTCATACCTGCAATATCTGATAACTATTAATAACGAATATACACAAAACTTGACAGACGGTCGCGTGCGACCTTGCAAATCTTAGTTAGTAGGCTCTTAACAAATTTATCTTCTATCTTCATTAGGTATGCTAATATATGTTATACTTTGTATGATATCATTCACAACGGCATCACTATTGATAACAAAATAAGTAAAATCGAATACACAAAACAAACCAAAACCAAATGCCCCAAACACCCTATATATGGTGATGGATAATCATTCTGTTTGTATCGCCTCCGTGCTAATGCAGTGACGTAAATGTTGAACAAATGTAAATATATTTGTATAATATGGTGCGACCAAAAACAGCTCGACGGATCATTATCAGAAACATCTATGTCAAATGTGTACTGTAATGTCAGATGTGAGATGCATTGTAATCGATAAAGTGTTGAAGCGTTGTTAGTAACGAAACGAACGTGTTAGAAAGTCATGTAAGTAATAATAAAAAAAAAAATAACTAACTACAGCAGAACTTACCTCCCAAGATTCTCTGGTAATGTCCGAAACATCGCCGGAACTGCCCGTTCTCTCGCCCTGCGACAAAAAACGAAGGCATTTTTATATTATTAATTAACATCGCCCGATAGGTCATAAATTTAGACAGCGGCTTCTTATCTTGATTCGAGATAATAGAGGATGCGATGAGTACAACGGTGACATTGAGTGTGATTTTATGTACATGTTCTATGTGTTCATGGTTAGTGGTTTATATATTATTATATATTAAAGTAATACTTTAAAGTATAGTCTACCCGCTACATATGCTTATATTAATCACATAAACAGCCTGTCCTTGGTCATGTGAAATACAGGATATAAGCTAATTAGCTCAATCGTCAATATATGAGGTTACAACAACTAGAAATAGTAAGGTGTTTTGCGTGCGACAAATTTTAAAAGCTAGAAAACCCACACATTTTTCTAATTCTGAAAAGATTTAAATTTAGTACAATAATAGCAAGAAAAATATGCCTATTCATTCGGAGATAATGAACATTTTTTTAAATAATTAATTTATAGTAGATATAATAAAACTTTCTCGGCGTTTAGATAACTGCTTCTTTCAGGCGCGATTAGCGCGGTAAAATGCGCGCGCGCAATAGTAGTACGCTTTTGACAGACAGAACTAAGATAAGTATATAATGTACAAAATAAGTTTACTAAATAAAGTAGGTATTAGAATGGGTGACACACCTTGTGTCCGGGTTTAGGGTCGTCATCTTCCCATTCGGTGTCGCTGTCGATGAGCTCGTAGCCCTGCGCGGTCACGTCGCCCAATGGCCCGTACCGGTCTGGTACCCAGTGGGTCAGGAACTTGAATAGATCGTCCACCCTGAGTAAATACGAATATAAAACAAAATTAGGTAAAGAAATATAAAATAAACTTATACATATTTAAAACAGAAAATTCACTACAGCAATTTTATTCAAAGTGCACAAAAGACAAATGATGAAAATACATAGATTTTTCTTCTTTTTCTTTCCGCGACCATATATTACATAGAAAACACCCAAACCGATACAAAACATATACAAATGTTTACACCGAGCGAGGTCGGAAGTAAAGCGGTATGCTAAACCGCTAGACCACCGAGACCATAAGAAGATTGCAAACATAAAGTTTATAGCATAAAATCAAATAAATTAGAGTTATTACCTGTTTCTAGGTATTCCGAACCAGTACTCCGGCTTCATGCGCTTGCGGCCGTAGGACATGAGCGGCGTGGTGCGCGGCAGCGGCCGGCCGGCGGGCTTGCCCATGCGCAGCCGCAAGTACAGCGGCGGGTCGTCGCTAGCACGCGCCGGACGCGGGATCAACTCTGTACACACGCACCGTGGTGAACCATACAAAATCACATCAGGAAAATAATATACAACCGGGCATATCATACAATGTCGTCTTGTCCAAAGCTAAACAGAACATGTGTTATGGGACAAGTTTTAGAAATACTTAAATAGATATTATACAGAGAAAACACCCAGATCAACACAAACAATTATGCTCAAGAACACAAATATTTGTATCTTCTGCAACGCGGCCGGGCACTTTATTCGATAATATCTATAGATTAGTTAGTATAATACTTAGATCCAAACGATCGTCCCCTCTCCGTTCGATCTACCGTCAATTCAAATTGGGATCAAAATTACAACGGCCGAGCCCAGATTCGAACACCTAGTGGTGCCTCCAACTAAAATCGTATCCTTCAGGAGTTGGCCTTCAGTAGTCCACTCCATAAGTCGTTCCGCACTCACCGTCCGGTAACGGCCCGTAAAGGCTAGCTACGGCCAACAACATTAGAGTAGTAAAAAAAATACTGACTGTCAAAAGAGACGAAGAGATCAGGCATATCGTCGACGGAGACCATGCTGCGGTAGTCGAGACGGGGCTGTGCCGAGGTGGGCGCCGACTTAGTCTGCGACCGCCCGAATCCACCCAATGAGCTGCGCCTGCGCACATTTGCATTCTTTATTATCATCGAAACAATTAGGGTAACAACAAAAAAATAATCACCTGGACTTTTCAATACAGATTTTGATACAGTCTACTTCAAGACTCTGAATCTTTGAATGAAATTATACATTATTATTATAATTTAATTTACACATGTTAGTTATTAAATAACTTTATAAGACAAATTATTATGTTGCTCTATCTGCAAAAACTACAATAGATGCCAAAAATGAAATACATGTCGTAAATATGTAGATCGTACCTATCACTACTTTATTCGATTTGTTAGTAGATTGTTATTCATAAATTAAATTGTTATTATTAACAAAACCACAACATGATAGTAATTACTAGACATATTAAACAAAGTATTCTGATATATTGTTTAAAAATTGAAATAAAATTAATAACGACTGTTTTTACACACTGCACCTGTGAAAAAAAGTATTTTTTACAATAAAGATAAACCTGCTAAAATTTCTTTCATTTACAATAAGATAGATATAAAACTTTGTCACACTCAGGTTCAGGTTCTATATATAAATAAATATTTTAATCCAATGCAATGAAATCACTCCAAACAGTAGCGAAATCTCTGCTCTTAAAATATATAAGTATTTTTATCATTTCCTTCATTGAGTTCAAGAAGACTAAATGCGACAGAGTTCCAATCGCTTCTGGTAATAGTCTAGTAGTAACATAATTATAATTCCTTAAATATAACACACAAGGCAATTTTAAGAAGACATATAGACATATCGAAGCTAAACATGCTGAAATATTTTTAAACATAAATGACATATTAAAATGTAAGGTGCCAATAAGACAAAACGCTCGTGTTTGATGATTGCGATGAATTTGGAAGGTATGAACAACATTCATTTCAATGTTTACCTATTTTTACCTATGATGATAATTCTATGCGGGTAAATTAACTAAATTTAAATAGGACATCTATAAATGTACATAAAGTAGAGCATTCTAAACTGGAATTATTGGTAATAATTTTATAACTCCTGTTGCAAATCATTCTACGTAGATATATTGCCGTGGATATGGTATCATGTTAATTCAGGATAAATATTACCATATTTTATTCATAAATGCTCTACATTATATGCATACAATAAGACTTCCTAACACATATACACCATGCCAATAAACACTTATAATTATTTATAAAGTAAGCGAATGAACTTTAACATTATTACGTGGATATTCTAAGTCGTCAAAGGAAATTTACGACCTCTTACACAAGACAATAAGATAACAAATATAGATATGTTGGTGAATAAAATATGCCTAATAATAGAAGAGTGAAAGAGAAGTCTACATTAAATAAACCGCGACGACATTTTGTATTATAAACATATGAATAAACCTTTATACTTTGGTAACACCTACCTAGAACCTGCATATGAACGCATTATTTGCGGATTGATCGCAAACTGCTATAATATTTGTAGTCTCTTTTGTAACATCACACATAGCTGATATTAGTTTTATGACGTTGTTAATAAGTAAAGAAAAACTATAAATCTATTTCCATGTTTAGTCAATGTATGAACCAATACACATTCTAAATTATTCTAAATAATTTAGAATTGTGTGTTTGTTGCAAGATTATACACAAATACTTATATTTACAAGTCCGCATTTACGTTCTGCTGTGAAGTTGGATTGTCTTAGCATGATAATTAAAATCAAGATCTATTAAATTATTATTATTAAAAAATATTAATCTATTAAACTAAAAATAAAAGCAGTTACACCTGACATTGTACACTTTAAATTATTTATACAATAATGGAACTCAGCATCAAAGCATTAAGGTTTACAATTGACAGACAAGTCGTCACAGCGAGCGGTCCCGTATGCAACACAACGAAGTGGGCACATCGACAGAGGCTTCATGGCACGTACCCCGACGACGAGAGCACATCCTGTGGCGTCTCCTCCGATGGTGTTTTACTCAGGAACAGGCCCGTACCGAACTCGACTAAATTCATTGGCGAGCTTTACGCACCAACGAACGTAAATTCGGTACGTGCAGTTAGCATCCATGGTAGCAAAGAAAAAATTTACGATTGCAACATTAAACTTTTTGAGGGATCTTGTGTACAAATGGGTAGTTATTGTTGGCAAGTAATTTAATTTGGATCGTGTGAGTTTCTTTCTTGGACAGTGAGAGCAGCGCAGATTGAGTTTATAACATGGGAAAGTGCTTCCAAACTAGTGTCAAGCGCAGTTGTCGGTCAACGTTCGACGTTTCAAATATGACCAGCATAATGTTCATATATGTTTATAACATATAAATATAACATACTTGGCACGGATAATGAGACGCGGAATGCTGACGGATATATTTTGCACCCTACATGGTTGACACTCTGGTAAGTGATATATGAGCATAATAATATAAATGATGATGTGTAAGGTGGTTTGAGATGTAATGGACGCTCCATTACATCTCAAACCACCTTAAACAGGCTATCATTAAATATGTACACGTATGTTTGGATACAACTGTATTCTGGTAAACCTATTAATTATTACATTAATATAAGACAATTTGAAATATTTAAACATTGTTCAAGTGTCTTTATAGATGCCTTAATAATTTCTATTTAGCCATTGAGATCATGTGTGTATAAAATAATTACATAATAATGATTTACATTATAAACCTATCATGTATAAGAATGAAACTAGTAGCATTTCAGGCACTGCACCTGTTGAGTTTTAATATGACAATGTCAATATTGACTACATTATAAAAGTAAACCAAATATTGATTTAAAAAAGTTGTTAATGAGTGATTATGTAAAATATATGATAAACATTATAGTATGTGGAATACAAGGTATTATATCTATTTAGCATGTTACATAGTTTCATTTTCTTTTGTTTCACAGTTTATCTATTTAGTATAATTATACATTTCTCACCATAAATACATCTAATCTTGATCTTTTTAAATACAAGATTGATAACGATTAGCGTATTTTACATGTGTGCGTGGAGCAAATGTCATGTGAAATGAAACACAAGTGTGAGACTCAAAAAAACTATTCAATGCTTTGTTTTATGTGTTTAGATAATTAAGCAAAATATGCCTTTAATTGCATCATATAATTATTTTGATGAATATTTCGTGATAATGAATTTAACCAATTCATATAACAATTGAAGTCTTCCTAGGAATTTATAACAAGTTATTTGTAGTACGGTATATTTCACACTGCGATTCTAATTAATAGTAAATAGTTTGTAAATCACATAATTACCTGTTGAAAACCTTGGAGAATACGCTTGTTGAGTTATGGCTGTCTGCGGAACTGGGTAGTGACTCTGTCTGCGAGCCCTGTGGACCCGCCGTACCTTCGCCAGTCAGCCCCTCCACCCATGACAACGGGTACGACAACCGCTTCAGCATCTATCACAAACATAAAATATTATATTACTAGCTGACAAGCGCAACTTTGTCTGCATTCTACTTGATTCTACTTGACATTTAACATTATATTACGCATCATTTACATAATACCTTTTTTAATTATAGGCTACGTGTTATTTTGATGCATAGCTAGTTTTTATTGTAAAGTATCATTAAAATCCACTCAGTAGTTTTTACTTAAAAGTAAAAGAGTAACAAACACCTATACATCCATACTCGCAAACTTCCGCGCTTATAATATTAGAACGGTATTACATGTATAAAACATTTTGAAAATAATTAAAGAGTTCATCCCAAATATCTGTATTATATTTTACAGAGCCGCTTACTTTTTATAATTAATATTTTCCCTTACCGTATCAATTATCATAAAAACAACGGCATATACCTCGTTCAACTTGCAATACGGTGAAGCATGTAAATTTGTGCCTACACCTGTGATATTTATGTTAACACTCGTCGTTTTACGTCTCCTCATAAGCAATGTAAGTAATGTAATGTAAGCATTTAAGTTCAGTGTAAAGTCAGTCCACGATACAACACCGCTTTGCTAATAAACCATGTAGTACAGTCTCAAAACGCACTCATCTAGTTCCATTACTACTCTACTACCACTACCTGTATACTCACTACTTAGATACAGACAACAAATAAATTGAGTAGCGACACTTCATCACTGTAGTGTTAGTTCCATAAAACACATTGTACCTTATTTTTCTTATCGGGCTTGGAGGCGTCATCCTTTTGTTGTTGCTGCTGCTGCTGCTGCTGCTGCTGTTGTTGTTGTTGATGATGTTGTTGGCCGCCATCGAGTGAGAAGGAGACGGCAGCCGGTTTGCGCGGGGCCCGCTCGGCCTCGCCCAGCGGCGGCGCCGACAGCGGCGGCTCCCCGCGCGACACCACCACCGGCGGCACCCACTCCGCAGACAGCACGATGTCCGCGTCACTGTACACCTGCACACCACACACCATTACCACATACATTACAGATTATCATCATCAGTGCCGTGACCACACAGACTATTTATATTATATTTTTATATTAAATTTAATATCTTTCACATGTATGTTAGTGTGTAGGGTATTTATAATATGGGCCATTAGAAGCCTGAATTGAATATATAATAATAAATACTCAGATAGAGAACAATCCTCATATTGATTCAGTGATTATAACAACATTTTAAGTCTGTCACTGAAATGAAATTACCTATTTGATATTACAATAATCTGATAAATTACGGTCCGATATAAACTAAAATATTAACTAAAATATGTCAATTGATCATGAAATTTAGTTTATTATGATTCATAAAATATTAGATTAGTAAATTATAACATAACATTTATTATTAGGGACAAAATAAACAAAATACAAGAAAAACAAGTGTCAGTAAACACTTGTTTCTTTTTCGAAGAATCGAATACAATTTCGTATTCAACAATATTCTTAATAATTTAGATTTTATTTAATTAAAAAGGAATTCCTATTAAATAGAAAATTAAAAGTAATAAATAAAAATCTAGCAATTTCACACACCATTAAATTGCAACAACTTATCGTAAAAGAAATAATAAAACGTAACGATAACACATTTCGTATTTCGTCACACTACGCCACCTTAAGATATATGAACAAATATGAAACACAATAAACCGTCATAATCCTGAAATAAGAATACTTGTAACGATAACAAGACAATTGTAAAGAAAACGAACAAATAAAAACTCCACATAAGAATAAAGAAAAAAAAACATTTACACAAATGTAGATCCCACAAGAGAGAATTGAATCAGGAACACAAAACATCTAGATAAATTACAAATGAATCGTATTCGTAGACAGTATTACGCTACTTATGAGACATCCGTAGAACCTTCTCATTTGTACCGTAGCATCAATGTATATATAAGTTGATTCATTGTAATTTTATAAAGGAAAGAATACCAAACGCCAGATTAGAAATTATCCACATTAGAATACCGTGGATAACGAGAGCTCCCATAACCTCGCTCTCACCTCGTCGCGGGAGGAGCTCGATAACATTTCAATATCATGATGCTCCAAGGCAAAACGACTAAGAAACTTTGTCTCGTATGTGACGTCACAGTCCCAGTTGTCGTACATAGAGACATCCGCGTCCGGCTCCATACTCTCGTATATCGTTTCAATATCATGATGGTAATCATCATGCTCTATGTCTGTGTGATAGTCCTAGAAAACCATTCATTTATTTAACCTTAAAGTAGAATGCACACCGTTTCTTTACAACTTGATATGCACGTGGCTTCAGTCCGTTGAAATTTATAACCTATTCTGAACTATAAGGTAAAGTTTTTCCGTGAAAGAGTAACAAACATCCATCCATACATTCATTACACTCACAAACTTCCACGTTTATAATATTATTAAGATATTAAAATAATATAAATTCAATTCGACGATTCCTTTGGAGAATCTAGGGATGCAGTTATACAAATTACAGACTTCTATAATGAAATCACTGTATTCCTGTATGATGCTTGACTAGAGCAAAATAATTAGTGTAGAAATAACATAGTATTTTCACTTTCGACGAACTAACTCATGACCACCAAAGCGCTATCGCTCAACCTTAATACTATTTAAAAGTCGAGCATACCTTCTTAGTGTTGATCGGCGTGACGTGCAGGAGCGGCTCGCGTATGTCGATCCCGGAGTCGTGGTACGAGAGTTTGACGAGGTGCTGCGCGTCATGCCGTCCCAAGCGTTCACCCCCCTCCTCAGCCCCGGATCCCTCCCCCGTCTCCACGCTGTCACCTCCTTCTGCGCCCTCGGCAGCATCATCTTTATGATCGGTGCTCGAAGACACCTGTAATATCATGCACACGTGTACAGTTAACTATAAAAAGAGAACATCATAGAAAATGGCGCAAGTACGGAACCAGTAAACCTATTTGTAAACTGAAGAACAGTGGTAACGTGGGTTTTTAGTCATGTATGAAGTAATATAGTTCTGAATTTGGTTCCCTCATTATATTATATTGGTTAGACTTAAAACCTAAATAATTAATACGGTACGCGTTGTACGGCACTTAATTAATACGGTAATACTTCTTCTTCTGCTTAGCTAAACAGTTAAAATAACAGGTTCATTTTTAATGGCAGTATCGAAACTTTTTTCATTCAATGTCTATTAATATAACATTTATAATAAATTAATGAGTAAGGCATATTCTTTTTCTAATATTAGGAATGTTTACATTAGTTTCACTTTTAAGCTAAATATTACTATATAATATTATAACGATAATACATATGTATACTATATATAAGATTAAAAATAATAACTCGCAGCGAGATAAATAAATGCCACAGTGTTACATTGCCAACTCCTACCTCGCTTCCTTGATCAATCGACATTCTATCTTTGCTTGGTATTGCCCAGTGGTGGTCCAGCAAAGACCTCCGCCTTTCTTCTATTGTTTGTTGCTGAAAACACAAAAGCGTTTACTTGCACTTAAAGCGGGGAAATAAAAATATAAAGCACAAAACAAAATTTTATGCAAAAGCGAATTGCAATTATGAAGCCAATAAATATAGACTATGCAAACATTGACAGGGACACTCGTTGACTCTACTATACTATGATCTATTTATAATTATTATACTAATCAATCTTTCTAAATTTCTATTAAGTGATCATTCGTTCGTGTGCTATTTATATATTGATAATTTATGTAAATGTATATTGACTACAAATTACAAAAAACAATTTAAATAATTCTATATCATAGACAATGGGCGGCAGTCATTATTTGATATCGCATAGATCAACCGCAAACATTCTTCAATACAATATTGCTATTCATTTTAATTTTAAATAATGCATCATATACGCAATTAAAATATGTACCAATTACTGTCATGTAATTAAAAAATTCAGTAAGTAAATATTTTGAAATTACGAAACCCACATGGTTTCGTAAACGTAAACAGGTTTTGAGGTAAACAGTAATGAGCAAAACCTTGTACATAGACCTTTAATGTCATAGATGACTGTAATCTCTCCTTTTAAATAGTAGTTGAATGGAAATTCTAGGAGAGCACAAATGGTATGCTTCATAGTAAACATTAGTAATAAAAAAATCGAGACGTCCACATTTATAATTACTAAATACATTACTATTAACTATAGAGTATTTCATTATAACCTTCTCTTTTGAGCGTGAGGACGAATCGTAAATTCTTCTACAAGATTTTTTTATACTGCAAAGAGTACGTCAAAAAAGTCGATATTTGAATCTTTATTATAATCCATACATATAAAGGAAATGTAGCTTAACTTTGCCTGTATATGGAAGATATATGCGAAAATTTATTATTGGGGGAATATATCCTTTTTTTTCAGAATACAAGGATTTATGGTTTATTTTTATCCTATTTGTCAGTGCGTTTGTGCGTTTGTGCGGGCTATCTAAAATCGCTTAACTGATTTGGGTGGCATATTTTTAATATGGTATGCTTCACATAAAATTTAGTGCATGTTTTATTCCAATCTGTCTACAAACAAAAAAGTTATAAGGACTAAAACGCTGCCTCAGCTATTCATGAAAAAATTTGTTACATGTTCTAAATGAGTGTTGCTCTATAAACTAATATGGTACTATTTTTTGTGTCTAAAGTGTACAGGGGTGAAACCAGATATAGTACCTGCAAAGCGGTGGGTGTGACTAGTTCCCTCTCGAAGGCTTTCGGGAAGGCGGCCCCACCACGTTCATCTCCGGAGCCTGGCCTATCTTCACCGCTGCACAACTCTTCGCCATCACCACCCTCAGCGCTCGCAGCCTGCAGCTCGGGGAATGTTTCATCCTGAAAATATTAGACGTATCATATGTACATATACCTCCAGTTGCTACTGACGTGCTAGACTCGAGTCTTCCGACTTGTTAGTAATGTGGACTAATAATGTCATTGCTAGCAATGTACCATGTCAGGTTGACCTCTACCTGAAAACCATCGTAATAAATTTATGGTGAATTTACTATGATGGGATAACTGACCTGACCTCATGCTCATCTTATCATCCTCAGGTGGTGCCCTGCTCCATAAAAAAAACTCTAGCTTATCCGATAAATGTTTTTTAACATGGGCGATGTCGCAAGATATACATAGTCATTAATAATTCTCAATGTAATTGTATTAATTATTAATATAACGCAAAGAAAACAATTTACTTGAATGTATTACAAAAACTATTTTTATATTGCAATAGAGTTCATAACAAAGCATATCGTATACAACTATTGTTTTAACATATGTTAGGAACGCAATTACATTTATCATAACCCTAATGATATCGATTTCAAATTGTGCATGAACTACATATTTCTGCGCAATAACAAAAAAAAAGTACATATTAAATTATATTTGATAACATTAAACAAAACAGTTGTATTTGTACACAGTCGCCTATAATTCTGTTTATTCTGTAAAGGGTGTGACATGTGGCACTAATATGTACTAAGTGATAACCTTGACACTAAGGAATGGGAATTTATGATATGTACCACAGATGACACAAAGTAGGTTTACAGTGTTGTTTAAGTTTGTAGGCGACCGTCCGTTCAATCGAAATGCAAGTTACTACTTTTCATCAACTCTTTAGTAACTCTAATCATTTAAAAGCTTATACATTTATTAAACATAAATACTCACTTTGACTAGAAGCGAATCCTTTCCTGGCGAATGCTCAGACTTATTCATATAGTAGATCTCTGCTTGCTCTGCCCTGTAATAAGAAATAATCTAATGTGACACACAGAAATATATATTACACAAAATTATTAAACAATAAAGATTAGAACTAATTGAATGATAGTTCTGTGCAAATTAGTTTGCCATGAGAGATTTAATCAGTTAGAAGAATTTTTTAATTACTTTTTTACTGAATGTTGTTTTTTCATCAACTCTTTAGACATACTTTGATTTTTATCATTTCCAGATATAAAGCTTAACGGACAACGTTTCCATTAAAACATAAAACTGTTATAACAATTGACTGAAGACGAAATATATTTCTTGTCATGATTCGACATGCTCAGACATATTATTTTTATTAATATAGTATTTATTATTCTGTTTGCTCTGCCCTGTAATAAGAATATAATCTAATGTGACACACATTGTTTATTTGAATATATATTACACAAAATTATTAAACAATAAAGATTAGAACTAATTGAATGATAGTTCTGTGCAAATTAGTTTTGTTTCGCATGAGAGATTTAATCAGTTAGAAGAATTTTTTAATTACTTTTTACTGGATTCATGAATGTTGTTTTTGCTGTTGAACTGTTGCTATACTACGTAGAGGACATATTTGATTTTTATTCATTCATCCAGATATAGAATGCTTAACGGACAACGTTTCCATTAAGAATCACTTAAAACTGTTATAACAATAGCCTGAGTACCGACGAAATATATTTCTTGTCATGATTCATTGACACATTGCTTCCGTTTTGGCGACATATTATTTTTATTAATATAAAGTAATTTATTATTGGCTTGTTGTGACGAGTCTGCGTTCCGAATGAGTGGTAGAATAAAAAAAATATATGTCAAATTTTAAGTAACCACTTGGTTACATTGTTTATTTGAATAACGATTATTTATATTCCAATTAGTTTCCAAACAAAGCCTACTAGCGGAATAGACAATTTAAAACATATTTCCTAATAGTCTTGCCCGTTACACAAAAGCCGTATAACTTAATGCATTGTGTTGATGCTTATTAAACCTATTAATTTTGTGCGATGATTGTATGTCTAGGTATCACATTAGATTGGGTACGCATGTGCGCAATGTCATAGAATATGGCTGCGTTAACCACGTACTCCATGGGCGCAATGACACCATAAGACTCCGGACCGTGCTCCATCACCAGCACGTCCGACACGTTCGGGTCGAACATCACCGCGTTATAAATACAATATTTATTTTACAACATTCGCCATTTATAGCACCACGTCCCTGTAACCGAATCAATAATACATATATTTATTTATTATTAAGAATAGGACAGTTTCAAAAGAGTTACGTGATTCATAATGTTAGTAACAATAACAAACTGATTTTCTAAATGTCTTGAAAGAGTTGTGACAGACGTTTTATGGCAATTGCGTAATAACTAAAATACCAGAGTCTGTTATAAATCTGCCAGAAAAAAGATTTAAATGTCGTAAAACACAAATATACACCTATTAAATTGAAGAATTCGTTAACGATAATAATGTTTTTGTAGAAAAATTTTAAATACATAGCACTGACAATATTATCTGATTACACTAATAATATACGATTTCTATGTTGATTGTCGCATGCCTCTTACTTGTTACACTGTAATTATTTATATAAAAAAAAAACATCTATTGAAAAGACACACACAAGTTTCTTGCTCATTCTTCTTGTGATGAATCTGCATTCCGAATGAGTGGTAGAATCAAAATATGACTATTCAAAAGTGCTTGTAATGAGTTTATTTGAATAAAGATTAACTATTTCTATTATTTCTATTTCTATCATTCCCCACTGGTGCCCCTCTAGAGTAAACCGTTAGCGCAGGCGGGTGTACCATTCCATGATCACAAAAAGAAACCCCATATATACCCATGCCCTTCATTCTTTTATTTTTGTTCTACACACATAGGAAAAAACAATAATAAGAGCGAGATTATCTCTTTAAAGGGATTTTTTCCGTTTTGGCTTCGCCTGAATGCAATATAAATCTTTGAATTTCTCGGCTCGTTCTATACTATAACAAGCTATTGCTGAAAAATGCATTAAAATCCGTTAAATATATTAATATAATTTAAAAAATATAAGCGACCAGATGGATGCGATTTTATTTTTTACTATGTAAAAGATTATATTATCAGCTAATAACAAAGTATGCACAACTATTAAAAAATGAGATAGCTACAATAATTATACCCAGCGAAGGAAGAGCGCGTCAGTATATATCGTCCGACATGCATATTATTTTCAATTAGATTTCCCTATGATGATTATTCTATTATACTCTAGATATAATGGACAATCATTTTATAACTCACACGCACGCCTTTGTATTCGTAAATAGTCAATGCATTATATCATATTCAACTAATAATAATACATCGGCGCGACTGTTACCCAGATGTGATCTTTAAGAGCAATTCTCAATTATTGACGTCTTGTCAACATTTGAAATATCCACATTTTGTTTAATATATTCAGATCTAACGTTATATCTATACCTGCGTTTCTTGGATTAATAAGAATTTACATACAAATACTTTTTGGTGTCGGCCACTTTCGGGAACTCACGACTTTGCGATTTATGTCGAGATCGTAAGCCAAAAAAATCAATATTTAAAATGGATTAGATATTGTTTCGTCTAACTACGATTTATAATTGGTACCGAATATGAAATTAAATTTAATCTGGAAATTTTTAATTTCATATATTAAGTGAAACCCAAAATGACCGGTATACCTCCATATCTATAAAATTAACAAATAAGAAGCGGTAACATTTAGTTACATTGTTATTTGGCGCAACTGTTCCACCTGTGTTCATACAAAATATTATTCATCACTGTTTATTATTGCTAGCCTCCCAGTTTCATTGTTAAATTGAAATAAGTACTAACATCGCTGTCTCACTCTGTGAAAATTGCGTTAAGCGTTAATTGCGTTAACTATCAGCTTAGTAAGTATTTTGCTATACTATTAATATACCATGAAAGAATAAAAATAGAAACTAAAATTAAATTATCAAACTTTGCACTTTTTTAGCTTGTTATCACTAGATTGATAATTCATTATGTATATATAAGAAACAATGTAATTGTTATATATGTGTAAAAATAATAGCAAAATATAGTTCTATTGTGTTTTATATACAGAAACTGATGAATAAAACTGCATTTGGTACAGTGTCAAACGTTAAACGTAAATAAATGTCATCAAGCGATAATACATATATTTAATTAAGAAGTTTCGTTTTGAGAGACGACATAAGTACGAAATGAATCAGTATAAGGTATAGGGGAAAAATATTTATACAAAGAAACTTGATGTATATAAGGAACTAAAATGTAAATGAAGTAATGTTTTTGATTTGATTTCACTCACCTGTCCATCCGTGATATGTCTGACATTGATTTTGAGGAATCTCTGTGGTGCGCTACTGCTGGTCGGGGCCTCTGGCGACACCGGCCGCAAGCTATCCAGGATCTCTGTAAAGAAATGGAGCCATAAATATCCATAATATATATAATATGATAAAGTGATATGAGAGCCTTTATTATTGCACAAAAGTTTTAGAATTTGTCTTTCAGTCTGTCACTATGCTTGTACACGCAGAACGCAATAGATAATGCTTAAAATTGAATGCCATCAGAGTAATTTAAAATATAGGCTCCATTTTAACGCAGGAAAATATGTTATTCTTTGCGAAACAGAGGCTTGTCATTAGTAATATACAAATAAGAACATTTGTTTAAACATATTTGGATGTTCTGAATTAAATACGACTTAAAGGATGTTATTGAAATTCTTAACACTGAGTTACTTAAAATACTTTGTACTCTTGCCTAAATCTCGCAGCCATTAACACAGTTTAAAGCTAATCCCAGAAATGCAAAAAAACCTCATTTCAAATGTAATGGAAAAATTCTTACATCGCTGTTTCGGTATGCAAATTGGTAAACATCAAAGAACCTTTTGATGTTTAAGAATTTGCATACAGAAACATCTACTGCGGGTAAGGTTCATTATATATAGGATGGAAACCCTTGGCACTCGTTATTTGCCTGTCTACCCATTAAATATTGTCTGAATTATAGACCGTTTATTACTTCTATTATATAATTTTATAAAAAGCAGAAATTGTAATCATTTATTATTTGAGACAAATAAAGATGATTATTGTTATTAATTATCCTCGTATGAAGAAGTACATATATATATTTGATGATACCCAATGAGTAATATTATTTCAAATGTTACAACTGAAGTTGTAATAACCAAATGTCTATTTTCAATTGCTAGTACTAATAAAAAATGTGAATATTCATAGATGTCACCTTGACATCTCACCATACTTCGACGCTATCTCATTATGTGACAAACTCATTTACTGAATGCATAAAACGACAGACAAATTTTTGTATTAAAGAGTGTAATAATAGGTAATTGTTAACATTGTTCGTAAATTTCAGACCACAAAAAGGAGGCATTCTCAATGTCAGTGTCACATATATAATAAATTCTATACATATACTGATATTCTTTTTCAATCTATAATTTTACCCGTTGCCTTAGTTATTTATATGTAATAGATATTATGAGTATGTTCTATTTTAAGGTTACATTTAAGCAAATATTGCTTTCCCCACCTTTTTCTTGAGCTGGCTCGCTAGGCGGACCCTGTGTTGATTCTGAGGTGTTATCACCGCTCTCGGACGGCCCATCAGAGTCCTTGTCTCCATCTGGAAAAATCGAGCAAGTTCGATGCAGTCATTACAGCTCATCATTGTTTACGTAGCAGTGGCGACGCGATTTCACTTATGTCGCAACAACAAAACAAATAGGAGGTCACGAAAATCATAACGCACCATGATACCAGCGTTTCAGGAATTCAAAACTGAACATTCTTGAGTTGAAATACCGCAACGTACATTATATCGGTACATGCACTTATCGCGCGCGATAAATCGTCACATTATCACGACATGGACTGTTTCGCCGGCTGTGGCGTACTACGAATTGATTTCAGTGCGGTGTAATTAATTAAACGATATAGGCCGGGAGTGTTGTTTGTTGGTGATAATTTGAAACAGACAGCTGTGATATCGCGTGGTGTCTGCACGCCGGCGCAGCTGACTCTGTCCCCCGCCGCTCGCGACTGTCGTGTCGCAACACTGTTTGAAGTTGTTTGCGGTGTAAATAGGAGAAAAATTCGTTCCATGTCTACGTCACGCGAGAATGAATAACACAATGGCAGATTGTGCAGTTGTTTTATCAAATGGACAATGCCGAATCGTGTGCGTGTAATTCAGGTTGATAACAGCGCGGTATTGTTATGTTTACACTTTTCCTCTTAGCCATTTTGCTACTATTGTGACATTAGTTGTGTTACCAACAACAAATAAATTATGTTGTACTTCCAATGTTGTAAGTGCCAAGACAGAAGCATCTATAAATACTTACAAACTATTAATGTAAACAACGCATGAAATCCGTAACTACAACTGAAATCTTTTAGCAATTGAATTAGGCAAGACTTTAGTTTTCTGTATGATGAATGAACGTCGCAAATAAACATATAGTCTCAGCGATCATCATATTTAGATACTATTTAGAAATGAAGGTTCAAACGCTCCGGACAAGTATTTATGCTGACCACTTTGAAAAAAGTCACATAGTGCTTGAGCGTATAAATAATAACTTTGCATACTTTTTACACAGTCTCTATTTCATTGGCAGAGGAATAGAGAAGACCGAAACAACACACGATTCTCGGACTTTCAGTGTCAGTGTCAACAACAAGAACATTAATTGTCTTGTTTACCAATGGCTCTCATTCCTGATTGTATATAAAGAACCATGATGTCATTGTACATACAGTATCGTGCATTTGCATTGCACGTTGATTGTTTCGATTCGGTATGAAAATTCAGGAAAATATAGTGCCAATTATTCGATAATAGTTCATTACTGGGAGGCAATTAGTATTCTAGCCTATCAGTAAATCATTGGAAACCGAAGGCCGAGCTATATAACTATAGTTTCTCGTTCGATTGATTGGTTACGGTTGAAATTTAACAGTACAGTCTTGTAACGACATCTAATTGAGCATGAAGAGGTTTTTATGCCGTAAAATTCTACAAATCAATGTAACAAAGCCGATAGGATGTACTTGGTATAAGTGTATTTCCTTCTGCAATACCCTACAATAAATAGAAATATACAAATAAGTAAGTAAATTCTAAGCTGTTCCACAACTCGATTAGGTCTCCAACAAGGTTATTGGCCTAACGCGATCCACTGTGTACTACTTAAATTTTATTGTATAAACACCCACCTCTTCATACTCTTGAAAATAAGTAACTTTTCGTTGGTTGACTCGTCGTGATCCAACCAAATTAATAGGAGCAATGCCGATAGACTAGGGCCCTTACCAATTCCATTCAAAAGTACAAAACGCAATACCATGTGTTGCGGTCATCGCGGTGTCGGTAGGTGACAATGCCTCTGATTACCCCATCTACGATACTAGTCGTGACAGTATATTATAATTAAATTCAATTGTCAAAGCGTTTGTGGCACGGATTCCCACCAACATGCTGGCCACCTTCATGAAGCAGGACTACTGGCCGAAGGATGTGGTGTATCGTCACTACTTTTATATTTACATAATTATTACACATTATATATATAAGTATATAAGGTATTTTCAATATGGACCATTAGGAGCCTGAAGTAAATAAATAAAATGCTATATTTCATGCGTCTCACCTTTTTTTTTGTCAGGTACGAGAAGTGTCTGCCCGGGAAATATGAACTGTGTGGCGAGCCTGTTCAGCTTGGTCAGCTCCGACGGTGTGGTGTCGAACCGAGCCGCTAACGAAGTTAATGTGTCACGGTCCCGTACCTGAACATACGTTAAAAACATATATCATTACATAGTATGAAATAAAGTTGCTGGCGCTGTCCGTTCCTATGTATGCTTAAATCTTTAAAACTACGCAACGGATTTTGCAGCGGTTTTTTTTTATAAATAGAGTGATTTAGAGGAAGGTTTATATATACATATAATACATGTACACCCGTGTGAAGCCGGGGGAGTAGCTAGTTTATCATAAATATATGCATCCGACGACCGACCTGGTCGTCGGTTAAAGCAGCTGTAACTGCCTGGTAGTTCCGATTGTACTTCCAAACCATCAAAGTAAATTTCATCTAAATCGGATCAGTATTTAGGACCTGATAGGTGACAATACATGTGTAATAATGTCATTACACAAAATTCGTTTTATTATTAAACATTATTATAATATATAATAAGTAATATAATTATTTTTAAAAATAGGAGAAATGTTTTCAAAGTTATTTTGCAGAATTATTTTCACATTTCATAATCATTCTACAATTAGCGTCAAAATTAATTTTAATTGCACTTGTGTACAACAATTATTTTATTCGCTTTTACTGCTTATATAGTATAATAGATAGATAAGACTGAGGTACATACGTAGACGTTTTTTACAGTAAGCTAAAAATAAAAAAATTACACTCACAGTGTAAGTAATGGTCTTGATGGGTGGCGGTGGCGGCAGCCTCTTCGCATGCTCGTCCTCGTCTGAAATAATATTCACACACTTTAGTTATTATAATGCGAATATGTTGGGACTTTTTTAAAGAACACATCATAAAGTCATAATGTAATAATTATACTACGAAATATAATAATAATAGTATTGCTAATAATCTTACTGTAGAGTGTAATGCGTTATTTTGATGTTATAAATTTGATTTGATTGGGCATTAGCATTAAAGTGTATTAACACTTTAATGTTAATACACTTTAATGCTAATGTCCGGAATCGTTTAATATTATCTGACTACCATAAGATTCTAGCGTCGTAGTTAAGTTACATATGACAATGTTTACTCATAGGTAGGGTATACCAAGTCAAAAGCCAGGCGCCAGCCACTCATGAGTTTCATCTACTTCCAAAAAACAAAGTAGAAATCTGAATATTATATAAATAACCTTTTCATATTAAATTGATCACATTACCACAAAGTGTATATGAAGGTTTTAATAATAATAATAATTTATCCAGCATCATAATACAGAGTTAAAATATACAAAACTTTTAACAATTAAAAAATATTTTTTTTACTTTCCACTTTACTTCTTTGTGAAATTTGTTCCATTTCATTAATACCATCACTCGCTTCGACTTCGTATACCCTATACGACTCAACCTGTTTATTTTTACGGGCGTATTCAAATTATTCTAACCAAACACGTACTACTACATACGAAAAAACTTGACATGTGACGGCGACTTATTTATATTATAACATTACGTATGTAGTGGAATTTTACTGTTCTAATTGTAAAAAAACAGAAGTACATTAATGCAATATCTACATTTTTTCTTCAATGCAGTATATGTCGGCCTGATGTCAGTCCAGACAACATGAAAATAAATATTCATCGTTGCAATATACTGATTGAACAAAGGAAATTATTGTTTCTTATTATCTCATGAAGTATCAAACAATAACTATGATAAGAACAAATTGATTTTGTTTACTATTATCGTTCTGTACATTAGGTACCGGATAATATATTCACAAATAAATTTGCTCACATATAATTTTGCTAACGACATAGTAACAGGCGCAAGTCACCTGTGTCGGCAATATATTTCACCAAACAATAATCAACTTCGAGAAAAATATTAACATTTAATAATGTCTTATAAGATTAGTACACAAAGACTTGATGTTGTTGCGAGGGTTTTAGGAAATGGGCTGGAAAATACTCTTCACTGAACGTTTTGTTCCTAACACAACAATTAGGCGGCTTGTCAGTTAACTTTATTATAACCCTAGTGGATAAGGAATAAGTTTACATATATAGTGTACATATAGATTTATATATGTACTAGCTGTGTCCGCGGTTTCACCCGTGTGACAATTATAGCCAGTATGTTATTCTGATGTATTAATTTTGTGATAAATTTATTTTCTTTTGGTATTTCAATTATTATCTAGTTTTACGCAAAAACTACTGAACGGATTTTGATGAAACTTTATCGTAATATAGCTTATATTACGATAAAGTTTTTGCGTGAAAGAGTAACAAACATCCTTCCATATTCACGAACTTTCGCGTTTATAATATTAATAAGATGTAGAGTTTTTAACGATGTTTGTGGTGGACTATAGTTCCACTATTTTCTATGAAAATTATCAGGTCCCTATTAGTAGAGTCTCTACAAAATAATAATAATAATAATAATAAACTAGATATTAATTGAAATACCAAAAGAAAATAAATTTATCACAAAATTAATATAAAAACAAGCTTAGCTCTTAGACAAGTCACAAGTTTATAATATGTAATTACACGTTTAGTTTTAGATTTAGAATACGCAGCGGGATTGGTTCTACATAAACATTGTATGTAAACAAAAACTATCATAACAGTATAATATTTTTAGACAAAATAACATTTGTTTTTTATCTTTAATTGTAATGATTTATTATTATGATAGTTTAATAATTGTAAACAAGTTATCGGTAAGTTTATTATTACACTACAATATTATCACGGTACAAATGTTAAAGTACCTATCTACCTAATAAAACAAATATATACTTATGTATTTATTTATAATCAGTTAACATCATCATAGTTCCGTACATATTGCTATTATTCTAATTAATACTGTTGACTAGAGATGAATATTTGTTCCTTATTGACACTTACGTGCCTACTTTGTTACGTAGTAGATGTGCCTGAGACGTGCGTGGTGTCGGAATAATAGGTAAAGTTTTCTATGGTACAGTTAACTTTTTTGTTTGTTAACTGTGAAAGACTTGAGATACTACGGTTTCATAGAGAACATCAATATCTTCAAAAAAGTCCGGAACACCGTATGTTTTACTATTACAGTTATGCCACAATAATTACTTTTTATGTTAAAATATGCAGTGGTAACAAATAATTAGAAATTTTTAAAATTTTTGAAATTTTTAATAAATACCTATGTGTAGTCAATTTGACCGCTAGTGTATGATAAGTAGAGGTAATAGTAACATTAACAGCCTACATACTCGTACATATAGTTTATAATAAATGAAGGCCAACCATCTAATATTGGCCTTAATAAAACTCTAAAATAATATTTGCCAACATTTGCTGAGCAAATATCAAGAGTGTCTGCGTGTGAAATTATATTTAAATTACATAGAATAACAACCAATCATTTTATTGTAGGCAAGGTCCTAGCAGTGCCCAATAAGCCATAATGGGGCCTTTATAAATTCTCTTGATTCTATTCTTGTCTTTCATTTTTTTTCAAACTATTCCATTGTTGTTGGCCTCAGCTGGACTTTACAACTTTATGGGGCCAGTACAGATGGCTTTATCGTGGAAGGACTTATCAGAGTAGCTGAAGGCTAACTCTCGCCTGAAGGATAAACCTCTTCTTCGCTCGGGCCATCGTATTTCGATATCCCTTTTCAATAGAAATAATTAGGTTGATTCTGGTCTGAATTGTAGTTAGTCATTGTTGTGGCCCTAGATTTGGTACTCTTACTAGGCTAATCCAGTACCATCAGTAGAGCCAGTGGGCTCTCAGGTATATAAATCATCGTTAGTTACTGCGAGTGATTGCGACAGACAATTTAAATAAACAGACTTTTATGAGTTTACCGGATTAATTATAGCTTACATTAGCCAGTTATGTATCTTCTATATATAACTGACTTGTTTATTTGTCCAAGTGACGTTAGTGCCAAGCAGTAATTTGCGGTCATAGGAGTAAATCTTAGTTTAACAGGTGGAAAGAAAATATAACCAAACAAATAAATCAATATGCTTGTTATTTGAATGTAAATTGACTTTTGTTAGACACATTGCACATTGAAAAATAAACAGAAATTGAAAATCATTCATCGATCATTTGCGTCATTAATTGATTTTTTTCGAGACCAGGGTAACCGTTTTGGGTTTGATACAAATTAGTTTATGGTTTAGTCTATCTATAATATATTCCAAATATTTTTTATTCTCAATGGCAAATTGCATGAAAATTAATTGAGGCAATTAATCAATCAATCAACCACCAAAATTTTTAAGAGTAGTTTATTACAAATATGCATATAATAAAAATGAATATACGAGAAAATTTCTATGGAGAAACTTTATTAACGTTATAGACCCCAAAACAATGAATATTCTAATTTGGGTGTAGTTTTCACTAATGCATGGCAAGTTTCACTCAAAGTTAGTTCAGTTCCGTACAGTTATTTTTTCAAGAGATTTGCAAACAAAAATATTATAAAACATTGTTATTCTCAATAGCACGGATAGGCATGAAGTCGCAGGTTCTATTATTATAGTTGTTTACTCATTACAGTATGGAATGAATAAAATTTTGTACTAAAATAAGGTATCTGCAGGCGGATTACTGAATAATGAAGCTGTCAATAAAAGGTATTTGCATAGTCATGAAAGTGAGTTTAATTAAATTTGCCATGCGTAAAATTTTATTCCCCGCGTTACGTTAAGTAAACCTTGAGCTCTAATTTTTAATTCTAATATAATAAAGCAAACGAATAGTCACTAAGGTAAGTTTAAGGGTAATCGTAATATTTTTCTTATATTTCTTTATAACAATTTTCTACGAGCAGAGTTAAAGGCACAACTTTAGGGAAACAGTAGTAAAAATTGCTATAGCTTTCTCTACATAGATACAAGCATTGTAATATTTACATTCGATTGTTACGTTAAAGACATTTAAATGAATCTTCTGGAGATTATAGTCGTAAGCATATTTATTTAGTCCAAACCCCTCAAACAAAAAATATATATTTTAGACAGCTGCTCTGTTCGAATAATTTTTTATATATTATGCCCGTTACTAAATATGTAAATAGGTATATTTTTTTGTGTTAGGCCTTAAAGTAATCATTTATTATTAACATTTTACTACAAAGTGTTGATAATAAAAGTAATTTATAAATAAAAGAAGAGTCCCTAAAGACCCAATCAGGTTTCTTACAATTAGGACTAGCAATAGGCGATTAAGATTACTTTAACGCCTTCATCAGGCTTATCTATATATCTTATATATTCTATCTGAACATTTCGAAAATGCAAGATTTTGACATGAAGCAACACCAACACATGATGTTGTATTGATACAATATCGATTTTGATTCAGCAACCGTACCCATTCGTAAAAACTTGGTATAGAATTGAATACAATCACATATTCGTTGATGCTGAAAATATTAGTGTGTGTTATGCCTTAATGCATACAAAACTACCTAAGAAATGTTTGTTTTCATCCGTAACGAGTTATGAATGTATAACCAACCGGTTTGGTAATGTTCTTAGGCGATGATATATATAATTTTACCTCTGTGTACAGCGTCGAACCTGCCCTCGACCTTGGAGCGCAACGCCTCCAGGTCAAACGGCGCACCGAACCCATGGTCCACCGAGCGACTTTTCGACCTGTAAATACGTAAAAAATAATTTAGCATATCATAACCACCGATATTACATTTATAATCTATGACAAGGAGAATTATTTATATACTACTTAACTACTAAATTTTCGTTTCTTATTTACTTTAATAATTTAAATTAAGCATATCCCTGAACAGTATTTCGAACATTCGATAATAAAAAACATCACGCTAAGTGTGAAGTCACGCTGAGGTCAGTGGTCTAGTAATGTACAACAGGATTCTAAAAAACAGCGTTCTAAATAAGTCGTGGGTCTGTCTGTTGTCGGTTATGTTACAAATTGATGCGAAGATAGAAATAGCACGAGCCTTGCCGATCTACGGCCGCACATCACACTAACACATTCGTTGAATATTAATGGGCTTCTACTATAATAAATTAAAAAAATGAGACCACTTATTGATGTGTCCTAGAATATTTCGCTCTGCGCAAACATTAATGACTGTCTACGACTATAAGCGCTATGACAGATGATTGCTGACTATTGGGTTTACACTTCGACGATCTACGTTTGACCCTAAGTGCAGAGGAAAATATTTGACGCACAATTTTATTGTTATGGTTTTATTTCAATAATTATTGTCTAATTAGTAATTTCAATAAAAAATGTCATGATCACACTAATTATACAATAGTTAGTGTGATCATGACATTTTTCTGTAATATTCTGAATTCCTTTATTTTATGTAATAATTTCAAATTATATTTCAAACTACGGAGACAATAAGATGAGGAATTGATGCACTAATTACTCGTATAAATGATAGGATAGAGAGTGCAACACAAATGCTACGTTTTGAAATTTTAAGGCACCACCCCTTAAATCAAACACATATTGACTATGTTACTAAAAGGACATAGTTATAGATAATATGCTTCATACAAAGTAAAAGAACTAATACAATTTGTAAAACACACGTGTCTATGTATATTATGTATATATACCTACATAATACGACTGCTGTATATATTGCTGGAAGCAATCTTTTCAAGGCAAGTTTAGGATAATGGATTTGATTGACAGAGATTGTTTAGACAGGACTGTAAGTATATTATACTGTTGCCTGATTTACATTTTGAATGTTTTAAAATATTTATACGTGCGTTTGTCTATGTAGATCAAGAGTGGTGATAATAATCAGCAGGGGTGTATCTGGCCTCATGGTGGATTACATAAGTGGGTCAATGCTTATCAGAACGCCTCAATGATAAAATACTATGAACAGTATTCTGGAGATAATAAATATTTACATACATAGATATTATTTAATATGCATGTTTGACCCAGGTAGACTGTATAAAGTCGTTATCACATATTTCTGCCACACAAGTAGCTTGCCAAATTAGAGTACGGAAGCATTGCAATGTACCTTGGTATAAAAATATTATGTGATATCTATAGCCCCGTTCATGTGTATACCCTGTACCAGTTACCATTTACCATCAGGTGAGCCATCAGCTTGTTTGCTATTCCAATTACAATAAAATTTAAAACAAAACTCTGACAACAAAATATAAACCCGATATTATAAGTAAATAGGTACCAAAAATAACGCGACCACAGAATCTGTCATAATAATAACATAATTAGTTAATGAAATAAAAATAACTAACATGTGAACTAACAGTGTGCTAAATATACTAAGCAAACGACATTTCAATACTACATTATGCATGTGCAAGATCAAATAATATGGCGGAAATAAACATGTGCCTACAAAGTATTTTGCGAGAGAACTTTTTTACCTTGTGGTCAATGTCATTACATTTCCATGGGTCGTTCTGTGTCAATCTTTAAAGTTGTCTTACAATATAATGTCTTGACGAGTTTTGTAAATATTCTCGCTTTCCACCAGGAGTGTCGCCATTTTGTTCAATAAATTTCGATATCGTAAAAGGTCTAATTTACTATAATTAAAACAAATTACATTTATTTACCTTTTGAATGATTGGTCTATGCTTTCTGCACTCCTGGACAGCTGCTGTGATGCGCGTCTAGACCTGCATGCAACAGAGATCACGCGCTAGATACAGGCAACATGCAAAACAGCTGCAGGCACTATATTCAGACAACTCAAAATAGAGGTAAACTCATTTTAATTTTCATAATAAAATTATCAAAAATTGTCTGAATATAACATTTACACATTTCTAATCTTCTTGTTTAACAAATAGTAATTTATTTTAAAATTCATTAGTTTAGAAATATGTAAGAGTGCATTGGCAACTAAATTTTGATACTAAAACAAAAAAGAAATTTTATAAACATAATATAAAAAAAATGCCACATCGATTCATGCGATGGGTAATCTATTTCATGCAATGCGTAAATAATGAAGGACACGACAAAAACATTATTATTAAATTAACTTAAAAAGGAAAGTTGTTTGGAGTGTTGGCTTTTAAAACTTAAATTGTTTTTTTATCCTCATAAATAGATACAGTACGGTAACAGTAGCAGTGACGCTTGCGACCTTTAACTTTGAGTTATTAAATGTAAAATTTAATCTTACTAAGAGGTTGTTTTTGTTCATCGGCTCCATTAATTAATTTAAATGTGACAATATTTCAAAATGTATTTTGGGATATAATTTCTAAAATTTTATCAGATTAGTAAATTAGTTTTTAGCTTTTTTATTTTGTTTTACTTAACATATTTTTTCTAGTGAAGAATGTTTAATATTATAACGAAAATAAATATACTTGCGGAGTATGAAGAATTACATTATGTAGAGAATCCATTATTGAATAATAGTTAATTTTAGATGAACATATGTATATCAATTGTATTAACAATTAGGTATCACCATTTTCATATATTTGCTCGTTTGATTTAATTTGCATAGTATGCTTTAGGATGTTTATTTATGCATAATATGTTTATCTGTGCATGTAAATATATGTTAATTTACATGCATTACGAAGGAGTAACTAATGACATAATTACAAGTAATTTTAAATAAATGTATTTAAATTATTATGATTAAACATTTTATTAAAAATATTTTACATATTTGGTTGTATAAAGTATTATTAAACATCAAGCGCTATGCCGAGAATATGAACGCAGCGCAGTGAAACTTCTAGCTAAGTTAAAACGAATCTATTTCTAAATTAGAATGAGGGTATTCCTAGTTACCGATGTCGTTCGAATAATCGGTAAGCTGGTGAATGGGCGCAAAGCTTGAAAAATTGACAACCGATAGTCATAAAATCGGAGTGGCGGCAGCGTGCTACTCAGTCCAGATTTATGGACAAATACATATTATTTCGAACTATTCTAATGCTGATGGCCGTTATTTAGTTACAGCTTCACCGGACAAAAATGGGGGCGAGTACAGTTAGCACTCCAAACCCGCGGAAGGACTTATAAAGGAGGATCTGATAGCAAACTGTTGCCTGACGGATACGACTAATCCGAGAGCACCGCTAGGGGTTCGAACCATAGCTTAGGTCGCCATGATTTCCATCCCCGTTTGAAACAAGGTATTCATAGGAAGAAAATTTCTTTATAGTTCGACTACGAATCGGGTAAATGAGGAGTTAATAAAGGTATACGATGTAGTGCACTGTCTTCCTTTATGATTAAATTATCTATAGTAGTCCTACAACAACATCTGGACAATGTAAAAGAAAATTATTGTTCTTGAAACGATTATGATAATGAGTAATGACATATCAAATTATTTTTATAAACAAAAGTAGGTATTATCGATTAGATAAATGATCGTATCTACTTTCTATAACTCGTATTCCGGTTTCTTTTGTGGAACAAAACGTACTTGTATGTAAATTCACTATGAAGCAGGCGTTTGTGTGTTACATGATATCATCGCTAAATAGATTATCTTTAAGATCTATAAGGTATGCTCCCGTATTCATTTGTCATATTTAGTTATTACTAACGAGTTAGGTACTGAAACTATATCACAGCTATATAATTGTATTTTGAAGAGTATGTAGGTCACACCGATGAGTTTTAATTAAAGAACCGTGTAATTCTCAACCTTCCGAGTTCTACGACAAACATTTCAAATTACGTAAATTATGATTATTAATTTAAAGAAGCCGGACAAGTTCACCGTTTTAAGTTACATAAAGTGGAGAGTTCCCCGAGCGGGACTCGGGGCGTAGTCGGGTAACTCAGCCATTTACAAACGAGCTGCAAGGTTTTCTCCTTACTATACGTATACACGTGTAAGTGTAGGGGTGTCTTGCTCTGGCGGTCGCTTTTCACTAGCTGTAGTCGCCCAGAAACGTGGGGGGATGGCGGTTGGCCTTGACACTGGGCGGCTAGGCGGGCTGGATGCCCGTCGCAGGGCGAGCAGACACTCTCGTATCTTTTACCGAGATTACATCAGTCTAGAGTCTACTACGTATATATTTTGTACGATAACAATATACATAAAGTATTAATTAGGTTCATTGTGTACATTTTTAAATAATGTGTCATTTATCACATTCTTTTTTATAGAAAAATTAATTGTCTTTAATATTCAATATTTGGTATAAGGTACTTGTAATACATTGTACATAAGAACAATCTAAGGCTAAATGTAATGTTCATCATAATTTTTTGTATGAAAGATTACGATATTAATTTTTTTTGTAATAATACTAAAAATTAGTATTCAACAACACTACGAAATTAAAATCTAAGATGTCACCAATAGAAAGCTAGACAAGTATATACTATATTTTAAGCGTATATTAATAATTCTAATACCAGTTGTATTCCACAATAATGCCTATGTTAATTATAAAAGTATAAAATAATAAATTAAATATTCATTTTATGTATGTTTATTTTGGAAATTTCACACAATTCCATATAGCTGTTGAAGCTAAAGAATTTTGAAACATATATCCTTTACAAGTTTTAAAATTTGTTATATTCATAGGATTATAAAACTTTCTGTAATTCATCCTTATGATATCAGAAAACTAAGCCTATATCTGACACATAGCCCGATAGATAGCTATATTAATGGTCGTGATTCATTAGTTTATACAAAATAATACATTTTCCTTATATTTTTATGTCAAACTTGTGTTAGAGATTAGCGATCGGTGTGATAACATTACTAGGTCGAACATACTTTAGATGACCAATATGCGTAATCAGTGTAGTAGTCATAATTGTTATTTACTTATCAAACTTTATAAATTTTACATATAAACAATATTTAGTAATCGTCGCGGGCTTGTCACTACACCCAAGAGGTCGAAAGGTCAATTATATTATAAAATACTTTGTGTCAATTCATGGGAAACAGCGATATCAAACCATAGGTTATTCAAATATATCAAATATAATATAGCGAAATGTGGACACGTATTGCGTTCACCACAACATCGACATTTGACAATATCTCTGATCACATTATTGGGGATAATAGGCATTATAGTCACGTATATTTGCTTGTGTTTAAATAAAATTAACCGAGTTATCGAGTTCGACTCGAACTAGTCAATTTATCTTTATGAATGACGATATTCAAGACTAGTAGTGTAATCAACATTGAATACATAAATGTATGTTTACATCATTCAGCTCTCAGCTGTGACAGATGATGAATTGTAAACTTCGCACTGCACGTAAGTATCTAATAAAATTGTAACTCAACCTTAATGATTATTTGTTACCATATAAATGCCATGCACATGATTCAATTCCGCATTCTGAAATACATCCAAGGCGAAACATATTGGCGGATATAATTTAAATAGAAATTAAACTTGATCCATTAAATGCACGTGATTAGATATCAAAAGCAAATAAATGCACTGTGCTTATGAATCATTATACCCCAGAAATAAATATAATCACATTAATAATTAATTAATAATAAATTATGTTGCACATATAGGTATTTATTTGTAATATAATCTTCTATATAAACATAAAATTACTGTAAACATTAGATCCGGTTCTAATAGGATATACCTAATCTAGTTTTTACTGAGCAGTGTAAAACATTTATCAGATTCTAATCTCTAATTTAAACTCGATATACGACTATATATAAGTTGCTGCAGTACTATTTATAACAAAGATAAAATAATATTAGACTGGTATTTTAAATGTTATGTTAGAATGAATCCTACAATTATATGTATAGGTGACATTTAAGGCAACGAAACAATTTAGTTGTTTTACGAATTACTTCTACTTTTAGATGCTACGATAGAATTGAACCTACTATTAACTAACATACTCTTGACCACTCTGCCATTTAAAATATATGAAACCGAGTCTGTGCTCATCACTCAATCTTAATAACTCGTTATGTTTTTAAAAGGGGAATTTTTATCCGACTTCTAAATAGAAAGAGTATGTATTGGATCACTGTTCTTTTTTTTATATATTTTAGTTAAGTTGTATCTTATTTGATGTTTGTTTTTTATGTATGCTCATCTCACATCTTCGTCAGTTATAGACCAACTTTCAAAATTCTTTTATGTTAATGTTAGCTGTTAACATTTCATAAAGCACTAAGAGATGTAAGCAATCTATTTTCTCTGTACTTTGTAAGTTTAATCAGAGACATATCATTTTGATCAGTTAGAGCATTCAATTTCCTATTTGTAAAGTCATGACCATTGCAGATCCGATCTACCAGCATTTAATAATAATGACCTCACTTTCTGACGTCCTGCCCTTTTAAGACGTGGGCGTTATCAATGTCATAGTAAATTGACATTAAGTCTTCCGCCAGCAATCCTAATTTGATATAGGTATCCTACTCATGAGAATTATATCTATGATCTAACAAACAGTGATTAATTAATACGACCTATCGACATTTTTTGTACAATGCAAATAAAAAATGATCACACATGATCTCAAATCATACTTTTTTATTTAGATATAATATAATTATAATAAAGCGTTTTTATTAATATAAAAATATAATAGCATTGAAATTTATTTACAACATTTTATTTCTTTGTATATACAGCTAATCGTCATCATCATTTCAATTTCAACATAACTTTAT